AAAAGTTGACCTCCTTTGGAATCCTCTGTAATGACTGATGACAAGGTTTTGAGAGGATCAATGCATATAAGTTTAAAGTCTAACAGATTTTTGGTAAATGGTAGAAATTAGAAATTCTCACATTTACAATAAGGATTTGGGATTGTGAAATGAGTATCATTGGAATCGTGTTCAATTGATCTACATCACATTGTAAGGATCATAGACAAACATAGTGTGCATACTTGGAGTATGGCATAACTATTGTTTAGAAAAACAAAGTGTACATGCCAGGAGCATAGGATGACTGTTTTTTATTCCAGTCTTAAGTTGATTGTTTGAAACATTATACAATGAATAATGTGTAATCAATATGGTGATAAATAAAAGGTGGTTCTATTTATATTCAAAAGGGTTCTGAGACCATATTGGATTCGATTATTATTGTGATTCACATTGCATGTTTTGACTTCCAAAATAGCTAGGTTATTCTTTCCAAATGACTAAGTTATTTAAACACTCCACAGTCGTTCATATGTTGGAAGTAGGTATGAATCAAGACTGTCATGAATCGAGTTTGTAGATGGCTAAATGGGTTTAGTCATAGCAATGGTTGCTACAACATTCATGAGTGCTCATAAGTTATGAGTATTGGAATAAAACCACGCTCACTTGTATCACTTCATGGAATTTATCTCGAGTGATCGTGAGATAGTAATATCATATAAATCTTCAAACCTAGAGATATGAGTTGTTACCTATGAGTTGGTTGTGCATTTTATTGGACGTAAACGCATCAGTAACTTGATGTTATAAAACGTGCCTTTGTGTACAATTCAACAAGTAGTAGAACAAGTATATGAGTCGAAGTTTATCTGTTCCTTGTAGAAATAGAAGCGATATCTGGGCCCCTCGATGATTTTGTTGTGACCTATGTACCGGCCGGTCAGAACTAAATTGATGTGTTCGATTAAGTTCTTTGTCAAACAAATCGAAAATCGGGAAACAAACTGCTGGACAATAAGTACGACGTTGTTCCATGTATTTGTCCGGATGATATCATGAGAACAGAGGATTATATGATCACTTATCTAAAATGGCGCTTCATAGTTCAACAGAGTTTTCGAGAGCTACGATTCCTGGTTGGTTCCTGAAGTAACATACACAAATACAGTTATTAGACTTATCCAAGTGGGAGTCTGTTGGATAAGGTGTCTAAGTCCATAACTTATTTGGTATATACTTGGCCCGACCCGACATGGCCCATTTGGGTTGCATTTCATCCAAACTATTTATGGATAATTTTATGAGAGTTACACACATATGATTATTAATATATTATAAGTTATAATATATTAATATGAAGTCATGTTATTTAATTAGTCTTAGTCTTAAATTAATTACGAATTAATTTAGAGATTAAAAGGAAGACTAATTAGATTGTGGGCTATTGGTTTTATATGGTGTGGGCTAACACTCATTTTTAATGGGCTAAGCTAATATGGAAGTCCATGGAGCTTTTAACCCATGGATCCTTGGAAAGGAAAAGACATGGGTTATTAGGGTTTCACCCTAACCATGCACACTATATAAGCATGCTTATGTTGCATGAAATGGCTTGCTGAGAACACTAGTGTAGCTAGCTTGTGTGTGTTTGTGTGTGGCCGAAATTAGTGTGTGTATACACTCTCTCAAAGTTTTCCAAGAGTTTGTGGTGATTTGTGATTCCATTTGAGGCATTCACACTATTGGTGCTTGGCCCTCAAACTCCTTAAGAATCAAACTCATCAAAAAGGTAATGATTGTGTTTCAGTTATTTATCAGCAGTAATTGTATGTTATTATAATGTGCAGGAAGAGTTGTTTCTAATGTGTTGATTTCAAACATGTATGAAGTGTTTAAAGTAATGACTTGTAAACCTTTGGAAAAGATTTCACAAGTATGAACTGTTTGAAAGCAGTTGAAAACGTTTGAATACCCTAGAAAATCCCTATGATTCCTATCAGTATAAAAATTAGCCTTCTACCAAGGCCCGAATATTTTAAAAGTAGTCTTCGACCAAGACTTGTATGGAAAGTAGTCTTCTACTAAGACTTGTATGTTTTGAAAGTAGTCTTCTACCAAGACTCAAATGTATGAAAGTAGTCTTCTACCAAGACTTGTATGGAAAGTAGTCTTCTACCAAGACTTGTATGTTTTGAAAGTAGTCTTCTACCAAGACTCAAATGTATGGAAAGTAGTCTTCTACCAAGACTCGTATGTTTTGGTATAACAAAGATGGTTTTCCCCTCTATAACTACTATTTAACAAAATAAAGTCTACCTCGTCGTTTATGTGAATATATCACAAAATAAAAGTAATAGGAAAATATAGCCATGTAAGCGTTATCCCTTTGTATTAGGATCAACACGACATCGCGACTACCGAAATGTATAACCTTGAACATCCGTAGATTGTTCATTGTCCTCTGTAGCTGGCAGCAGGTTTAAGGAATGGTTAGTCCCATAAATGTTCTCCTAATATAAGTATTAACCGTAGGCATCCGTAGATGTTCATTTACCTCTGTAGCGAACAACAGGTTAAAGGAATGGTTAGTCCTGTAAAGCTACCCCTAATATAAGTAATAACCGTAGGCATCCGTAGATGTTCATTACCGTTGTTGCTAACAGGTGGGTTCCGGAATGGTTAGTCCCGTCTAGACATCTCGTTGAACTGGGATAAGCAGTACAAATTTACACGTATAATATGTACTAGTAACTCATTATTTAGAATCTAGTTACAAGTATCCATGTAAGCGTATGCAAGTAAATGTATTTATATAAATGTATTCATGTAAGCGTATCTATGTAGACATATTCATGTAACATGTAATGTATAGTATAGACTCATGAATGAACTGACTCTGGTGTAATTCCTTGTAATAGGAATAGCAAGTGGTATCTCCTAACTATACCTATAATAGTTACTAGGAATGTACAAGTATCTACGAAAGTATACCTATACATATATGGGCATGCATTTGATAACACAAAAGTATGCTAGAAGTTTTGTAAAACCTTTGAAAAGTATTTTGATAAGACAGTTTAAGTATAAAGGAAACTTTGTTTGAAAACACATTTGTAACTGAGTTTAAAATGAAACATATTGTGTTTAATATACAGTTTAATAAAGTGTTTTAAATACTTAAAAACGTTCAAGATAAACATTTGAAGAAAACTGATTGGTAAAAAGTTAACGTAAAGTAAAGCCATTTTCATGTTAATCATTAATCACATGTGATTGATATAATAACTAAACATGATTAAACTTGTAACCCCCCCCCCCCATAAAGCATTTAAAAACATTTGAAAACATTTAAAAGGTTAATTCAAGGGGTATAAACTCACCTGTAGATGGTGGTTTGGATGAACTGAATGATGTAGGATTGTTAGGTGTCAAGTGAGGACTTGTACACACACTATGATCCTAATGAACATATAATCACACATATATGCACCCAATTAGTCTTAAACTACTAATTGAAAATGTTAAGACATCCTAAACCATGATAAACACTTTATATAAGTGTTATAAGCCCTAAGGATTGCATCTAAGTCGTTGTAGGACAAGGCTAGTGGGTTTAGGGTTCCAAAGGACCCTATCCTTGAGTTTACTCTTCAATGCCATAACATCAAGGAGTTTACGGTCGTAAACCCTTGAGTTTACGACCGTAAGCTCCTAAGCTTAGGTTCATTTGGTGCTTAGAAGTCTTACATGATCCCTAGAAGCAATTCTACTTGATGGTTTAATCCTTGGAAGGGTTTAGGGAATTAATACACTCCTTTGAGGAGTTCACGGCCCAAGGACCAAAACCCTTGGAGATTACGGCCATAATCTCTCCTTGGGATGGGTTTTTGATGATTTAAATTCCCTAAATTAACTAGGAGTAAATCAAGGCTATTGTCCAAGGCTTTAGGAGGCTTTAGAGTACCTTTTGGCCCTTGAGTTTGAAGTTCACGGTCCAAGAACTTCTTGGGTCGTGAACACCTTACTCTTGGTGTTCTTAGGTGCTTTCTAGTCCTAATTGGATTAGTATATGAGTCTAAGCTAGCTTCATATCAAGAGGAAAGGACTAGGCACTCATTTGTCCCTTATAAAAAGGGTTTACGGTCCAAGATGTTCTTGGGCAGTAAACTTTTAAGTCTTGTTGTTTTGATATGATTTCTATGTTATTAAGCATATATTAAGCTCTATAATACAACTAGATGGAAGCACTTACATTTTGGAACGAAAGTCCGAAGATCCGTGAGAGAGAATTATGTTTTTCTATAGATGGAAATGCAACTAATGAATAAATATGGCTAAGAATCCTATATATACTCCTAGGATTTTTGGCAGAAAATATTTTATTCACGCAATCAACTCTAATATCATAGAGTTTTGAAATAACAGAGTTGCACAAAACCCTAGTGCATCCTCTCTCCTGATATCTCTTTCAGAGTAAATCCTGAAATATTCAAACTTATAATAAAAAGTCTGAAAATTTACCGCAACTGTTCTAACTTCTATTGACTTGATATTGTTTGCACGGAATGTAAATTTTGGGTTGTCACAGAATCAATCTAAGAAGTGATTATGGTTGTTTGTTGTGGTGCAATGACTATTTAGTTTATTATTGTTAAAAACTGTTTGTTTTTGAAAACTTTAGTTATGGTTTGATGATGTGGTTATGTATGGTGCACACACACTTGTATGCTTAACTTGGTAATGTTTTTTGGTTCCACTCATGTGGTTGATGGAATGTTCATTTTTGTCAATTTATGACATGTATTTTGGTACTGTACTTTTGTTACATTTTGGTTCTATTTATGTTCTTATATTTGACAATTGATACACATTTTCACACTTGAATATCATTTATATCATTAACAACATTGGAATTCATTACACACATGATGAAGTCAAATTACAAAAAAATTATACCATTTTTACCCTGCATCACTTGATCAACAAAAATCCCCATATTTGTCTATCCCTATCCCTTACATAGACCAAATATTAAAGATAACAATCACAAACATAAACCAACTTGCACATAAATACATCTTCAGCTTGAAGCCTTCATCCTTCAATGCATCACACCTTGCCTCCAACATGTTGTTCCTGCTCAAAAGTCCATTGCACTGTTTGTGTAACATGTTGATACTTCTTACCAGCCCATTACATCTTTCCTCCAACATATTTATGTTTCTTAGAAGACCAGGTATGACGGTTTTACTCCTAGCACACATAGGCGGGTCAACCCACCCGATAAACCCACAAACAAAATCCTTAGTAGGGCAAGAATAAAACCTCCTGCCGGGATTCAGTGGTGTCCAAGACGTTTTCACCAAAGCAAGCTTTCCACAAAAACAAACCACCACTGTTCGATTGCAAGTCAGGAAGGAGAAATGGAAGAAAATAGTCGTTAAGGAAGAACAGTTAAGAACGTTGGGGAAGAAGATTTGTTGGGGAAGAAGCTGGGAAAAGAAAACGATATATAAAGGATGTCTTATTTTTCCATATGCAAATGGTCCCTATAAGTAAAAGGATAGAAATACCCTCTCGTGCAAGGCACATGAGGGGGTTAACAGATTCTTTTTAACAGATGTTAAGTACAGGGACCATTCTCACAAACAAACCAGTCCAAAAGGACCACAAAACCAAAAAAAACTCGTGGTTTGGACCAAAAGCCCAAAAAATTGCATACCACAGGACCATTTTTGCAATTAAGTCTTTTTGGTTTATTAAATTCATTTAATTAACTTTTTTTTTAATTTTTGACAAAACTGTAAAATTGGTCCTCGTGGTTTGCAAAAAACTTTGGATGGGGTCCAAAAAGTTTTTGACTTGCATGGAAGGTCCAAAATCAAGAATTTTCTTTGGTTTTGGTCCTTGAAAATTTGAAAAGACAATCTACCCTTATTATTTATTTTTTACATTTTCTTTATTTTTTTAATTGTTTTATATTTAAAAAACGAAAAAGAAAAATAATAGGATGGGTCTCTCTCTCTCTCTCTCTCTCTCTCTCTCTCTCTCTCTCTCTCTCTCTCTCCATCTTCTTCCAGATAGGATCATCTCAACCAAACTCACAAACCAAACCCCAATCTCCTTACAAGTCAAAATCAAGCTTCCCACCAGAATCATCTTCGGAGAACATGAAACCATCACAACATTCAACCCCTGCGATCTCATTCAACTCCCCAAGAATAGACTTGGCGATGGCTTCTTAGGCACACTTTACAAAGTTATCGTCCTACTCTGGCTCCATTATCACAATCAGAAAGATTTGTAAAAACATCACCCATGGCAGCAAATTCGACCACTGGGTTAATTTTTTCGGCGGCCTTCGTGGCAACCGGTGGTTGTTGTCGCTCCGATTTGGTTTTTGGTACGACAGTGAAGCTTTTGTTATTCATGAATACTTATGTTTAGGCAGCTTGGAGGAGCTCCAACATGGTAAGCAATCCCATAATCGAAAACTAGGGTTTCTAATTTTTACCTTTAACCGATTTCGATTTCGCAGGAAGCGAAGGCATTCAATTTATCCCGTTAAATTCAGAAATCAGATAGGAAATAACGCTTGGAGAAACGAAAGCAATAGCATCGATTCACAGTCGAGGTCTTCTCAACGGGGTGATAAAATCATCTAACTTTCTAATACAAAGCGACTTCTCACCTCGTCTTTCCAGCTTTGAAACGTTTCTGGTCGGAAAGAATGTTTACATTTTGGGGATTTTGATATTGGTGATTATCACCGGAAAGAAACCTTCGGTGACTAATTTAGGGTAGTATGTAATGGAGAAAGAAAGAGAGAATGGCTGAAAGGTTTTCCCGTTAACTGAGAAAGGAACAAGGGTGGGGAAGATGGTGGAGAGAGAGAGAGAGAGAGAGAGAGAGAGAGAGTTTATTTTTTATTTTTAATTATTTAAATACCAAAATAAGTAAAGAAAATAGAAAAAAGAAATGAAAATGGTAAAATTATCTTTCTAAGTGAATCAGGGACCAAAAATCTAGATAAACCTTGATTTTGGACCTTCCATGCAAGTCAAAATCTTTTTGGACCCCATCCAAATTTTTTTGCAAACCACAAGGATCAATTTTGCAGTTTTATCTTAATTTTTTTATTTCGTTAATTCTTTTGATTGGATTATTATATATATTAATAACTATTATTTTTAATATATTATATTTATATATTAATAAATATTACTTATTATTATTATTATTATTATTATTATTATTATTATTATTATTATTTAATTGATTTTTCTTAATTTCTTTTTTATTGGATTATTATATATTAACAAATATTATTTTTAGCATATAATATTTATCTATTAGTAAGTGTTACTTTATTGAATTATTAATTTCATTTAATTATTTTATTTAATTTTTTTTATTGCATTAGTTCTTTTTATTGGATTATTAATTTAAATTTATTATTTTCATTTATAATAAATAATATTTATTTAATTGTGTTTATTTTAATTTAAATCATTTCTTTATTGTTTTAAACAAAAATACCAAACACTCTGGGTCAGCTCCTCCATTCATTGCATTTTACCACCTTGCGTCGTCGTATCATCTCGCTGGAAATCATCGATCATCGACTACAGTCGGCCATTCTTGATGAAAACTACACCAGTTGACTACCCACACAATGTGAAATAAATCTCATAAAGCATACTTCCTCCAGCCGACCATTCATTACAAATACTACCATCGATGATGACAATGTTAGATCGAGGGTTTTCAAACCATCATAGTCACTACAGGTGGTGAAAAAGTTGTAAAACTCGTTATTCGGTACTCATTTAGCCGACTGTCGAGTAGTGAATACTCAGATTTGGTAATTCATTTAGAAATATTTTTAGGGAAATTGTATATGTCAAAATCATAAGTTAAAATATTATATGCTAAAAATAAAAACAATTAAAAAATATTATTTGTTATAAATAAAAATAATAAGTTTAAATTAATAATCCAATAAAAAGAACTAATGCAATAAAAAAATTAATTAAATAAAATTAATAATCCAATAAAGTAACACTTACTAATAAATAAATATTATATGCTAAAAATAATATTTGTTAATATATAATAATCCAATAAAAAGAATTAATGCAATAAAGAAGAAATTAAAAAAGACAATTAAAAAAATTAATAATAAAAGTAATATGTATTAATATATAAATTTAATATATTAAAAATAATATTTATTAATATATAATTATCCAATCAAAAGAATTAACGAAATAAAAAATTAAAAAAATTAATTAAATGAATTTAATAATCCAAGAAAGTATAGATAAATATTATATGTTAAAAATAATATTTGTTAATATATAATAATTAAATAAAAAAGAATTAATGAAATAAAGAAGAAATTCAAAAAAATTAATTAAAAAGATTAATAATAAAAATAAATATTTATTAATATATAATAATCCTATAAAAAAAATACTACAATAAGAAAAAAGTTAAAATGGAAAAAGTAATTCAATTATTTAATAATTAATAAAACGAAGAAAAAAAAAAGAATTGTATAATTGGTCATTGTAGTTTGGTAAAAAGATAAAACTGTAGAAATAGTTCCAGGGGTAAATCCATCATTTGCTAAAAGTTAACAGCCATGTTGTTAAACTTAACGAGGTAGGGATCAAAACCATAACAAAACCATCAACTAGGGACCTTTTTTGCTAATAAACTTTTTTTTGGATCTTACCCATAGAAATTGACAAACCACATGGATCATTTTTGCAATTTTGTACAAAACATTTTTATTTTATTAAATATTTTTTCTAGGTTTATGTTTATTCTAACTAGCCTCATACTCTACTTATTATAACTAATCTTTAAAAGCTCTATATACTTTTTTTTTTAGTCTACAATATTAAATATTAAATACATATAGTCATATGTTATCGTTTTTCCTTTTGATTTTATTTTTATAGCTATACATGTAATAATTTATTATTTTTTATTCAATAATATTTGTCATTGTGACATTTATTTCATTGTAATATATTTATTTTATGTAATGTTATTGTTATGTTTCTTTTATAAAATTTTATTAATATTACACATGCTTCAAAAAAAAACAAATATTTTATAAAGATGAATAAAAAAAACTTTTAAAATTGGTTAATGATCGGAGAGAGTGTGAATTAAAGCATCTACATCTACATCACGCATAACTTTTTTGTTCATATCAATTTTCCAATTGTATTTTATCAAACAAAAAGTAAAACTTAAACACACTTCAATCATTGATTTTTTTTTCTATATTTAACTAATCTTTCGTCATCTATATCGAATGCATTATAAAACTCTTTTAATTCATTTTTACATAAATATCAAAATTTAAATGAAATATTACATGTCAAAAATATTTAATTAAAATAATATATTTATTATAAAAAATACAAAAGACAATAAATTCTTATGTCCACAGTTATAAAGAAAATACCAAAAGTATTATATTATATTTAAGAATTTAGTATTTAATATCAAACATTAAAATGAAATATTTATTAAAAGAAATTAATTAGTTAATAAATAACAAATATTTAAAATATTTAAAGTCCAACTATAATTAGGGAGTAAAATAAAATATCATTGATTAAAGAAGGTTTTAAAGCAACTCTAACGACTCATCTCTCCGACCTCTCGGAGTCTCGGTGTGCACACTACCGCACACTACGGTATATGAGGTGATACCATAGTGTGCTACAAACACTGCACCGACCCCCAAAAGAAAACCATGATATTCATACCGTATGAGAAGGTTTCACCGCACGGAAAAAACATGCATATCACTAAAATGTAGTACTTTGTGCATAAAAATATGTGATGGAGTGGGTGTGGTATCATACTTACTAGTTTTGTAGGGTGAGAGAAAAATAAAATGATGATAACGTAGAAGTGCAAAAATATGGTATGTGTGGTATGATACCACCCGCCTCAAATACCTTTTATTTTTGCCACATCATTTTTCCACTAATTTTTATTTGACAAAAAACTTTTATCAAATAGGTTATCTAATGATTAACATTTTTAATTTTTTTTTTAAGAAATTAACTAATTTATCATTTATCTTTCTTAAATATTTTATTAAGCCCACTCATAATTTATCATTTTAAACATGTCAAAAATTTGACATTACTTGACATTATTATTATTAAAATGAATGTAAATATTACAATAATAACTAGACATTCCAAAAAAAAAAATCTCAAAAAATAACTTTGACGGGTATCTTTTTCCGAAATTATAAAGGATGATAAATTTTTTACATATGTAGTTAAAAAATAAAAAAGCTAAATGACTATCTTACCACAATGTTTTATAATATATATATATATATATATATATATATATATATATATATATATATATATTTATTTATTTATTTTAAAAGTTATGACAACTACTTTTAAATTAGATAACATTTTCATAATATATATTAATTATTTTTTTATTAAATTAATTAATTAACTAAATATAAAATAAATCTAATATCTAAATATTATTAGGGTATAAAATTAAAATTTACTAAATATAGGGATCAAATGTACAAAACTTTAAAAAACTAGAAGGTTAGAGGAAAATAAATGTTTGTAGTAACCTCTCGATCAATCTTATCTCCCTTAGTAAAAAATTTTACAAAAGTTTTCTCAAAAAGTAAAAAACCTCAAAAAAAAAATCTCCTATTAAAGATACTTTTAGTTATATTATAGAACTTTTGGTTAATATTAAGGAGAATTATAAGAATGATTAAATAAACAGCCCATCTATTAAAATGGGTTGTCTATTTAACCAACCCCTAAAAAAACACTTTCTTATAAAAACAGATTTAGTCAAAAATTATTATTATACTAATGATTAAAAAACATTTTTTAGGATTTTTTTAAATATTTTTATTTTACCTTTTAAAATTATTTAAATACAAACTTCTTTAAAAGGAGCCAACATAATTGGTTCTTATGGTATAAAAGAGGTCATCAATATATACGTGTATTTATTTATTCTTTTTGGTATTTTTTCTGTCTAGAAGTTTGTTAATATTTTAATGTCTTCGTTTAAGTATTTATTTGGATTATAGATTTTATTTGTTAAAAGAACATGATGCACCTCAATAATAAAATGATTTATTAAAAAACAATATATTTTTTTTAAACTGTTACTTAAAAGCTAATAATAAATAATAAAAAACATAATATTTAAAAATTGTTATCCAAAGTTATTTTCTTTTGCAAATTTATGTTCACGTATGGCATAATATATATATATATCAAACACATTGATAGTAAAAAATGTATTTTAATAATAAAAACTGAAATATCTGATAGCAATAAAAAAATAATAAAAAAGAAAAAAAGTTTTCAATGTTTATCTTAATTTAATAGATGTAATT